AAGGGGGGGGGGGGGGGAAGGATACGGCACCTTCATTTTTGAGTCCCCCCTGCTGGTGAGGAGCGCGTTCCTTTCTCACCGCCCGCGTGCATGGGGCCACTCCCCACATTAATTGTCCCCACCCCCGACGGCTGAAAAATGGCTTACCCCCAAAGCAGAAAGCTTTAATTTCAGTAAACAGACAAGGGCATCCTGAACGCAAATATTTATTACTGCACCCTCTTGTTATCGCATTTGGGTTTTGGCACTTCCCCACTGCCGCTCAAGCCGTGGACATCACCATGAGAAAATGCCCCAAAAAGAACAACGCACTTCAAACAATTTTATAGCGTTCCTGATAGATTTTTTTTGAAAGCCAGCCGCTTCTCGAATGTTTGTCTATATTGTCTTTGTCTTTGGGGTGAGGGGGTCTTTGCAGGCCTGATGTTAAACTCCCTTCTCCGACAAAGAGAACTCAATTAATGAAAGGTACGCTATTTTCATTGTGAAAACTACTTCGGCAGAGCGAAAACGCGGTTTATTCATTCCTTCCTACATTTTAATGTCGTAATGCGAAAAAAAGAAAAGAAAAGTTAGGTTGCTAAGAACAATGAAAAGCTTATTTCAAGTATATAATTTTATAGAATGTGAACTTGAACTAGTTCTGGATTTCTCAACGCACGCCTCGGCTAGCTTCCCTCATAGTTACTAAACCTAACGATAATAAATGAACCCCTATCTCCCTAACTTAAGGGCAGGGGCGAGCTGATTTTCAATAGATTGGGTATATCACGGGAAAAGAATAATAAAAGTCAGAAAGAAAAATAATCACCGATTAGGAATAACCTAATTAGCTCTCAGCCTGGGCGCTAACTAAACTTTCTCTGTTGAGCGTGCTCAATCCTAAAAGATAACCAATACCTCTACAAATCAGAAGTACCCTCTGGATCAACTTTACCAGCTTCAGCTAGCTTTGCATACTGACGCCGCCACTCAATGATCTGCTTCGCTTGTTCATGCAATCCAGCTTTCAAAAATACCCCGGACAGGTACAATGTGGTTGAGGCATCCGGCACCAGATTTCGATTCAGAAGTTGATGCAAGACCTCCACAGTCTTGTCAAGGCGTCCGACGCGAGCGTAGCCCCGCGCCATGATATTCAACGTACTGTAGCTCGGCGTCTCGGCACACCCTGCAAGCTCCTTCTCCTGTTCCTCGACTTTCTCCATAAGGCCCGCCCGGCAATAGAATGAGATGAGCCTGGCATTATCCGACGGCAGCAACTTGTGGTCCACACTCGTGCTCGACAATAACTGGATCGCCTTCTCCATATAGTCCGTATTACCACAGCGACAGAAGGCCTCCACGCATGACCAAATCACCCGCCTGGAGAACACGGAGGCATTGGCGGGGTTGGATACTTTGTCGAAGAGGCGAATCACGCCCTTCTCCGACTTCGCCCTGCCGTAGGCGTTGATCAAGACGCAGTAGGTGAACTCGTCCAAGGGGATCCCATCGGACTGTCGCTTCTGAAGGACCTCCTCCATTTGCACCAGGTCCCGTGCGCGGCCGTAGCCGTCCAGAAGGATGTTATTGGTGACCGCGGTGTCTTGAAAGCCCCTTTGGAGGTACTCCTCATGGACCTTCTCCATCTTCCCCACATCCCCCGACTTGGCGTAGGTGTTTAGGACCTGGTTGTAGGTCACCGCGGTGGGCTGGGTGTCCGTGTTGGCCTTCATGTCCGCGAAGAGTTCCTCCATCTCGGCGACCTGGCCCGACTTCCCGAGCAGGTCGAGCACCGTGGTGGCGGTGATAGGGTTGGGCGGGACCTGGGTCATCATGCTGTCCAGCACCCCCTGCATCTTCCCCAGGTCCGCCTGGCGGCTGTAGAGGGTGAGGAATTGGTTGTACACGGCGGTCCCAGGGAAGAGCCGGGACGCCAGGAGGTCCTCCCAGGCCTCGTTCACGCCGCCGGTCTGCCCCATCCGGTTTAGCGAGGAGGCCAGGACGGAGTAGAAGGTCGCGGAGACCTCGCCTTGGTGCGCGCGCACCAGGGCGATCGTCTGGTCCACCCGCGCGGAGTCGCCCCAGCGCGCGAAGGCGGTGATAAGAGTGCCAAACGTGACGTCGTTCATCGAGACGGAGTCGTTCTGCAGTTTTTGGAGCACCTCCTCGAACTTCTCACGATTCATCTGCCTGCCGTACATATTCAGAACAACATTGTAGATATCAATGCTCCACGAGGGAATGTCGGCAAGAAGCTTCTCCAGCTTGCTGTTGTCTTTGGATAGTAGGGCATTGGTTGCGTAAACGTGCATCATGCTCGTCTGCACATGTGAGTGATCTGCCAAATTCCTCTTCTTGGCTTCCGCGTACAGCGCTTCCGACTTCGCCAGATTCTTCGAGTAGACCCGAATGAGCACTGCGAAGGTTATGGACGTTAATTGCAGTGTGCCGGATTCCTCACGTTTTTTCATCTCGTCAAGAAGCGAGTCCACGCGGTTGAGCTGCTGAGTGTCTCCCCAAATGCCAATTAATGTGTTGTAGAGGTAAATGTTCGGTCGCACCCGCCGTGCTTCGAGTTCGCTGTATATCTCCTCGGTGTGGCGTGGGTAGAACTTGCCAAGCGCGCGCAGAATCCACGTATACGATACAGCATCGGGTCGCACATTCTTCCTCTCCATTTCCTCCTTTAACGCGAGGACGTCCTTGACACTCCCCATCAAGGCGTACCATTTAAACATTTCGTTGTAGATGCCCACATCGTCCGTCAAGCCCTTGAGCTGAAGCTTCGACCAGGCGTTCTTGATGCTTTCCGGCCGCCCAGCTGCGCCGTACCCGCGAATGATCGACTTGATATGAGTGGTGTTGATATCCATGTCAGGATCCCCTTCATTTAAACGCGACTCGATCGAGGCAAGAAGCATATCGACCTTTGACAGCATCAGCTCGTCGCTGCCGTGGTCGCCGTAGCGAATGAGGCGAGCGTAAGTAGTGATGACGATAGAGTTCCCCGTGATGTCCGGAACATAGCCGTTTTCCTTCAGCTCCTCCTCAATGGACTCAATCTCTTCGACGCTGGCCACGTTACGCAGCTTCCGTCGCAAAATAACGCCAAAGGTCGCATTATCAAGCGGAACTTTAGCCTCCGAGGCGGCCTGCAGAACACGCGTAAACGACACATCGTCGTTGCGTTTGTGAAAGACACTCAACAGCGTGCTGTAGATTTCGGCCCTCTCTGCGGGCTCCCTCGCGCTCTCCTTGAGGCTGTCTAAAATCTCAAACAGCTTCTCCGTCTTTTCCAAATGATCGTAGCCGGTTATCAGCGCGAGAATATCCTCTTTGGGGAGTTCAAGGAGCGAAAGCCCCTCACAAAGCGCATTCGCTGCCGCCTCGTCGTTGGCGAACAGATAGGCGGCAACGCAAAGCGACCGCAACGCGGTATCCGACTTCATCTCCTGCGCAAGTTGGAGCATCAACTCGGCGCTGTTCGTGGTTTTGTAGGATTCGAACAGGTGACGGATGGCATTGACGGAGATGGTGCATTCGTACTTTCGGAAACGCAAAAATGCGCGGAACAGGAGGTGCGCCATATCGTGCTGGGAGTAGGTCACGCACTCTTCCAGAACACCTTCAATGATCTGGGAGGCATGCTCGGGGTTGATCATCTGCTTTCGGAGGAACTCCTGCAAAATGATCATCAGCTGCGTAACGGTGTTTCTAAACTGCACCTCGCGCTTCCTCGAGCGCCAAACTTGCTGGCGTACGTGCTTAAGGACGTGGTGAGGCTTCGTTTTGACAACCTGCACAAGGTCCTTTTCATCTCTTTCGGTAAAGGGTCGGAATGAATTGGTATAATAACAAATCGCTGAGTTCGCAAACAACGCGGCCGCACGGCGTTGAAGTGCAACAGTACACCGACGCATCATGTATATGGATGTGCAGACTTACGTTCTCTTCTTTCAGAAGTTCAGAAAATACTGTGTATGGTATGATGACAAGGATAAAATTAAAAAAAAATGGAATCAAAAGGGGGAGAAGCGGAGGCTGATTATGTGCGCGTGTGCAATAAATGTACAGTTTACTTGTGAAACCAAGTTGAAGTAAACGCTGGACCTTTATATACACGGATTCAAACTTCTTTTTTCTTTGTCTTTCCCCCTGAGGTGATGGGGAGGATTGGTATGAGGAAAGTAGATTAGTTACCATATAAAAATCATATATAGACCTAAATTAATTGAAATCCTATGGATCATAATAAATATACACAGTATACATGACTATCCTAATAAAACAGTGAACAAGAGTTTATGATTTCACCACAAAAAGTTATTTTTCCTTTTATCCTTCTTTTCAATACAATTTGACATGTGCTTATAAATATTCACTTAAATTGCTTTTTCTTGTTTACGGTACTATGGGACCGAAGCAGGTCAATTCTTGATGAGGGATTCCTCATCCCCCAGCAGCCTCACCCCCGCCCCCACACTCGATTCGAGGAGCATCTCGAAGCTCTTTTTGGGGTAGTCAATGAGGTTTGTGCAGTCCTCAGGGGCCGTAGTATGAAGGCAGACCTCCTTCATCTTCTCGTCCTCGAAGAAGAACTTGTCCGGGTTTGTTGGGAAGTGCGCCATGAGCATCGCGACGAGCTCGGGGAGGTCCTGCTCGAGGGTGAAGATGAAGCAGTTCGCGCCGGCGTCGAAGGTGTAGGCGGCGAGGGTGCGCCCCCGGCGGGCGTTGAAGGCGCGGACGAGGCGGATCATCGCGTAGCTGTCCTCCGTGGCGTACTGAATGGGCGGGGTGGTGGTCCGGCAGATCTCCTGCAGGTCGTCCGACTCGTCCATCGTGATGGCCGCGAGGGCGGCGAAGTCGCGGGCGGCGATGGCGGCCTCGGCGAGCGCGGCCCGCCGCGGGACGACCGTCGCGATGCGGTCGGCC